ATTTCTTGGCACTTGTGTATAATGTTAAAATAATAAATAACGCACAACGTTAAAATAGGCACACAATTAAAAACATTTTAATTAAGGCCTGTCTATGTTCACTAAAATCTTACTCTACATGTTTCGAATTTGCAACTCCTGAAGATGACGTTGCAACATGTACAGTCAACTTTTTAGTGGTCATAGATTTGCCTTAATTAAAATGTTTTTAATTGTGTACCTATTTTAACGTTGTGTGTTATTTATTATTTTAGGTAAAATCTCACTATCTGGTTAGAAAAGAGTAGCCCAAGAGTTGGCGGTATGTGCTGTTGACTAGCTGTTTTCTCTCTAGTCTACCAGTTCAAAATTAGGACTGCTATGCGTAAAAAGTCTGAAACAAACCTAAGTAACTGAATGTTTACAGCTTGGCAATCGTTAGTTTCTGCCACCAAAATTCGCGTCGTCTAGCTGGCGTTTTAACGTGGTATCTTCTAGAAGACGTAATTTGTATTCATTCAGTCAACTGCGCTGTTTCACTCCTACTGAATCTTAATGACAGTAATTTTGCCACGGGACACTCAGCTGCAGATTACAGCCGTGCCTGTTCGAGTTTTATTGCCAAAGAAAAAGAGAGAGAGAGATTATTTGAAATACTCTAATGGGTTTTCAATCAACTAAGTTCGTCCCTGAACGAATTAATTTTCAGGCTGTTGTTAGAAGAAATGAACTCCGACCAATAGCATCATCGAGCACTTCGAATTCGTTTACTGCTTCGGAACTCTTATACATTCTATTCTAATTGATTCGCCAAGTGACAAATAGAAATTATATACGTCTGGTATGTTCTTAGTCCTTTCAAAACAAGTAGTAGGTGACAGAAAACTGAGAGTCTCTTAACTTTACATCCCTTCTTTAATTTAATCAATATCGAATAATTCTCCGTTTATTTTGTGTTTCTTTTGCTCTCCGAACCACATTAGACTGCAAAGTCTCGGGAAGCGAGATTGGTTTTTTTGACATCCTGGCGTTAGAAGCCATACTCGAGTTACTATCAAAGCATGAAGATATCCGACTTGATCTCAGGTTTTCTGATAAAACGATTTAAGAACACCGTGGAACTGCTATTAATTAATAAACAGTTTAATTTTCTATATTGCAGTTGTCTGGTCAATAATATCGCATGTGGTCGTACAGAAATGCACAAATAAGCTTTATTTTTAATTCGTGTGAATTATTTGTAAGGACATATCTCTTATTTTTCTAGACAATATTATATATATAAATATCCACGGTATTTATCCCAAAAAGTGTTGTTAATGATTTTAAATATAGATAGCTCGGTAAAATAACCTACTCAAAAATAGTACGAATATCATTTTGCCGAAAGTCAGTTACAGCTCGTTATTGTTATACGTTAAGTAATGTATGTTAATCTGCACAATGGGATATCAGTGCTCCAACTCTGAATTTTAATGTTATAACTCCTCAAGCTTACCGCTGAGCTACCAGGAGAATCAAATGGATCGAAGCATAAAATCATGTTTTATCTGAGGCAATGAACTTATTTATACTTTTGTAAAATGCTACTATTTTTCATATTTAATTACATTTAAGTCTATTATACTAATTTGTGTTGAACATCTGTCTTTTAGTAAATTTTATGTTGGTCACTGAGCTCTAAATTATTTTTCAAGTCGTTAAAAAAAAATCTAACTATCGAGCTTCCAAGTCAAAAGTGAAAGTTTCAACACATTGCAATACTTATGTATAAGAAAATAATTTAAGGAAAAATACGTTTGGATTTCAGTGAGTAAGAAAAAATCTACATTAAACCAATGATGTGAACGACAAAAATGTTGTTAATACCTATCTACGTTCAACCAATGATGTGAACGACAAAAATGTTGTTAATACCTATCTACGTTCAACCAATGTTGTTAATAAATAATATGCTTGAAAGTTTCTTCATTAACCACAATTCTTTGACTGTAAGGTCCTGCTCTTGGGGTGGGCGACGTATGTCCCCGCACTAGGCGCCCACACCAAGAGGCGCCAAAATGACATTGCAATTAGCAATTCTAGTCAGTTTTACAGGAGCGCCGACTACTAACTTCTCACAGGCCACAATTTTACCTAGGGCGGTTCTGATCATTGTTTGTTTTTTTTTAATTCTACGAAACACAAGTTCTCAAACCTAACAAACTTACTTTTATATTGTTTGTATGTGTTAAGCGCAGAGCTACAAAATAGACTATCTGTGCTGTACCAACCTTTTAACGTCATAATCCTTCAACTTTATCGCTGAGTCATTGTGGTCCTGACTTTTAGTATAATGAATAACTAAGGGTTTTGGTTAAATTTTCGCATGACAACAGTGACGAGCTATGCTCCATTAGCAAATAAAGCTTAAAAATAAAATATGTCAAACTTTTCCTTCAGATATAACCGAAACTAGAATACACCTATTATAAAAACAATGAGTATATTTGTACGTATTACAATTTAAACGGAGACTTTTAAGAACCTAACTGCGTTAGAAAACTCACTGAACAACTACTTTATTGGTACCCTCAATTAACACGGGTTGCTTCGTCCTTTTAATTGTCATAGTATCCTTGACTCTGCATTAGCATATATTCCACATTCTGCCGGTAGGTGTCTTGTTTAACTACAACCCTTTCTTCGAAGAGAATGGTAGTCAATTTTTTCACAGGTGCTGGCAAAGAATTAAGGTAATGTGCTTCGTGTAGTACGGTTGAAAATAGTCGAATCCTGAGTACTAAAGACACGGTCTGATATTTGCTTCATTTTATAAGTATGTCCAGTAATATGTTTACTTGACTAGTCCTCAACAGTTGGCGCCACATTTTATATAGACAGACTCCCGCTGTTAATAGACTCTGATGAAAGATGTTTTTGACCAGTCGAAAAAAGAAATGGCATTTGATAAATATCCTCTTGCTGAACTGACATTTTTAATAACCATACTCCTTTGAAAGTCGGGAAATTTTTTGCTCTTAACTATTATTCTGTATTTACATGGCTAAATCTATCACCTGAATAACCACATGACCAGTTTATTTTGAAGCTGCAGATAAATAGAACATTTTATGAATATACGTAGGATCTTAATCAAATAGTCAATTAGAATAAGCAATATGTCATCAGGACACTTTATAGCGTCCTCTAAGTACTTTTCTTAGCTGAGCAATGAAACACAGAATTATTATTTAAACTGGATTTCCTGAATTATTACCAGAGTATCAGACAGTTCAATAATCATCACTAGGATCTTAGACTGTTTCTAACACTTATTGTAAAGGCAAAAAAAAACGGTAATATTAACACGAAATACTCTTCAATGTTTCCCAAAAACTACAATATTTTCTTGTCAACAAAAAACATTTCAACGTATACTTTGATAATTAATATCTTTACAGAAAGTAGATGATCCATGTTCGTGATACTGTCATTTTTTCTCATTATTAAGACACATTTTAACTCTCAAATCACAAACTTGTTTATATACAGTTCACTACCGGTGGGGTCCGCATATTGCGCCATATTGAGTAACTTTACATTTTTGCCTGTAACAATATTCATTGTCAAGGACAGATCAAAAACAATTGGACGAAATCATTTGTTTATAATGTAATATGAAATTCATATGATACTCCAGGATTAATTAGTGAGATAAATTATGACATTGACTATATTTATGTATGTGTGTGCATGTCCGCGCGCGCGCGTGTATATATGAAAGAGAAAGACTTTCATGTTATTGAGGAACATGTGCACAACAAAGTATTGGACCCACAATAATTTTGCTGCACAAATAATCTAAAAAGTTTTGTTTAAAAAGCCGATTAAATATGGCCTCCATCAACAATTCTTTGGTTAACAGGTGTTTTTTTTTTCTGTGTAAATAGTGTAACAATTCCTGGACACCAGGGAACGCTTGGAAATACTTTGATACATCCTGATCTGGGGCCGTGGCAGGCTTTTGGGGTTGAATTTGTCTTGACGTTTTTGGTGGTATTCACGGTGTTTGCCACACAGGATCCCAACAGAAGATCCTTAGGAAGCGATGCACTGACTGTGGGTATTGGCTATCTGGCCACCTCTCTGCCTGGGGTAAGTCTTTACTCATTATCATGTTAACTTTGTATGTTGTGTGCTTTGTCGGAATCAATATTTGAAAAAAAAATCTCGGTGTTGTTATTAATTCTTATTAGCATATTTATTATAATATACCCAAATGGTGATTATTTGGGCTTTCCCTTAGTGAAATCTTTTTTATAGTTTTAACCAATATAACAATATTCATTCATAGTGAAACAGTTTCAAAGTACAAGTTTTGTCCACACAGATGTTCTTTATTTAATCTAGGAATTGTTTACCGTTATGCAGTGGACAAGTTTTATCTATATAGATGTTCGTTAGTTAATCTTGGAACTGTTTACTATTATGTAGTGGACAAGTTTTATCTATATAGATGTTCGTTAGTTAATATTGGAACTGTTTACTGTTATGTAGTGGACAAGTTTTGTCCACACAGGTGTTCTTTAGTTAATCTTGGAACTGTTTATCGTTATGCAGTGGACAAGTTTTGTCCACACAGGTGTTCTTTAGTTAATCTTGGAACTGTTTATCGTTATGCAGTGGAGAAGTTTTATCTATATAGATGTTCGTTAGTTAATCTTGGAACTGTTTACTATTATGTAGTGGACAAGTTTTGTCCACACAGGTGTTCTTTAGTTAATATTGGAACTGTTTACCTTTATGCAGTGGACAAGTTTTGTCCACACAGGTGTTCTTTAGTTAATCTTGGAACTGTTTATCGTTATGCAGTGGACAAGTTTTGTCCACACAGGTGTTCTTTAGTTAATCTTGGAACTGTTTACCTTTATGCAGTGGAGAAGTTTTGTCCACACAGGTGTTCGTTAGTTAATATTGGAACTGTTTACCTTTATGCAGTGGACAAGTTTTGTCCACACAGGTGTTCTTTAGTTAATCTTGGAACTGTTTATCGTTATGCAGTGGAGAAGTTTTGTCCACACAGGTGTTCTTTAATTAATATTGGAACTGTTTACTGTTATGTAGTGGACAAGTTTTTTCCACACAGGTGTTTGTTAGTTAATCTTGGAACTGTTTACCGTTATGCAATGTACAAGTTTTGTCTATTTAGGTGTTATTTAACACTAATTACGTATAATCTCCCTATTCAGCAATGTTCACTAATAAGTAGAATTGCCGTATTGCTAGACTGTAAACTAGGTATTAGCTGTTCTTTACAGTATTTGTATATATTCCCACTAAATTTGATAAAACAACTACCCACTTTTAGATTCAATATGGTTTATAGAAATGGTCATTAGAAGGTAAAACACCAATATTTTTTGTATGAATTGCATTTTACAATATTTGAAACTCAGTGAACTGGGAGGAGTTGTGTTTTCCCTTAAAAACTATGTTTCTACATAATGTTACTGCTGTACCAATAGTAATCGTATATTATAATGGGACATGTAAGCTCTTATTGACGTCATTACTTTGTAACTGATACATTAATCCCGAGTTAAAAAACACGCCACAAGGTGATTTCAATGTGTATCTTGATGCTGTTGAAAGTTTAAAGAAGTATGCTACAAAAACTGATTGTTCACCACCTTGTTGTTCAATAAATAAATGTCTGGTTATTGTGGTATCTGTTCTTTATTAAAATCATTTCTCACAGGACGTTAGACAGTTACTGTACTTCTTACTTTAGTGCACTGCTGCTAAAATTTTAATTGCAATGCATAAAAACCACGAGACTTAGCGGCTCGTGATTCTGATACCTGGTGTTCTCAGGGATTCAGGTAATAAAATTGGCGAAACCGTTCAACCTGTAATGTTTTAACACCATACACTTATAAATCGTTGCACTCGTTAGCTGCAAAATATAGGTAGATATAACTACATTTTCTGTTAATTTTCTTCATGAAACGTCATGGAGGAAGGGTGTATACACGTTTTTACTTACTGTAAGTAGTTGGGGATCCTACGTAGCGAGAAACGAAGCATCGATGAACAGATATTAATTAAATGCAGGCGGCCAGTGGAGAATTACATTCTGAGTGCAAGAGGTCACGTGACCTACGATTCTACAGTTCAACAGAGAACCATCAGGGGTGGTTAGTGCTATATATTTCCACTGTGTGACGCCCCAGTAGTTGGAATCGCTCGATGTCGATGTGTCCAAACCTGTGGTTATATCATAATGAACTTCGACCTCAATTACACCATATTAGGTCTGTGTTATCATTGAGGTCAACTTTGTACTTTATATTTTTATTTTAATATCCATGTGATCAACAATAAACAAAGTGTTTGGGTACGTAAAATTATTATTTTATGTTTATTGATTTTTTTCTTTTTCTTGTATAGCATAATTCGTGATAATATTGTGTGTGATAATATGTACATTAGTTTAATTTATAACTTAGGAAGACTTGGAATGGTATGTTTTCCTATAAATTTATATATAAAACATCTATTCTATGCATCACACTCATAAGATCATCCATACACTAATTTAACGTACAATTTACATAGCCCTGGAAAAGAACATTTCATGGTAATTTATACATTCAAACGCTAGATATTTTCGTCTGAATCAAATAGAAATATATCCAAATAAAGATATGGAGTACAACTGTTAACATGTATTTAATCTATCATAACCTACATAGCCACCCTCATTCTTAAGTCCCCTACATCTGATTTTAGCCACCAATTATTAAACTCTGTATTAACATTTTGCTATAATTATATGTAATGAAGTATGTAACACTGATATTATGCTTGGAAAAACAGTTTTCTGATTGAATGTCTTACTATAGAACAAATCCAATCATATCTATAAACTTTTCGAAAATACTTTTTTTGTTATTATATCAATATTATTGAGTATGTGAAACGCATAGAAACATTTATTATTTTATGTTTTGTCACAAAAGGTAGCACATAATCAGATATCACATCTTCTATGTTGTTGTTGTTGTTTGTAAGCACTTTGTTTTTCCGTAGAACGTTTTGGATTCGCTTTGAAATGCAAAACGTTTTGTATAAAAACATGGAAGTCATTATATACGTTAGATGCCACTTTTTGACAAAAACAAATTGGTAAGTGTTAGCATTTATTTCACTGAGTGAGTTCTATTATATAATTATATATAATTCTGTTTTGGAAAGCATTACATTTGTGACTGGAATTGTTCTAAATGCTCTGTGGAATAATCATGCAGTTTTGTGTACATAAAATCAAATTTATCCAATGTTATAGTGTCCAAAGACGGTGTTATATGGTAATTTTGTTTAGTTAATATGGTTTATAAGTTAATAAAAATGTTTTAAAATTCATTATATTTTCCGTTTTGAAACCTTCGTATTATTTACTTTAAACAAAGTAAAGTGTTTCTTATATAATATGTAGAGTTTAGTAACTTGTGGGTAGAATCAGACGTAACAGGAACTGAAATAAAAACAAACATGGCAAATTCAATACAAGTTAAAGTAGTTGTACTGCATATTTACGCTTGAACGTACTATATTAGTTTTGATTGATATGACGCATAGGATAAATATCTGGAATTTGAATGATTTATGTATAAAAGTATACGAACATTTCCAGGACTACTTACAGTGTGCGTTAAACTAATACATGAGAAATCATACGAGTAAATCATTAAGTACACTAAATAAACACTCAAACTGTAATAAATGAAACTCAAAAATACAATTTTAACACTCCCGTCCCCCGGTGGGTCAGTGGTAAGTTTACGGACTTACATCTTAAAACTCCAGGGTACGATTCTCCGTGGTGGACATAACAAATAGCTCAATCTGACTTTGCGCTAAAACAAATAAATTTATCACTCCCCTATAGATAACCTCAACTGTCACCCTAGTGGCACGCTTTATAACTATGGTTCTACAGTGCTTTGCAAAAGTCTTCACTCCCTCTGTACTGGTAATCCAGTTTAGTTATTTTCTTCTGAAAGATATAACTCAAATGGCCAAAAATATTTGGTTTTTACTTTCTTCAATCGCACATACACATTTGCCTTGTAAATAAGCTCTATATAGAATACTATTGGTGCTAAAAATTCAGCCACTGGTCACTAACTTTAATTATCGAATCAAAATCACTGAGCTGAAACCATATGAAGGGAAGTTTTTATTATTATTATTATCTTGTTATATTTATTATCGTGCTTAATTATTCCAAATTTCGTTCTTTATTTAACTATGGGTCCCATTGCCGGATGAAAATGGAAAGGTTCGTGGAACCCACCTACACAATTCATACTTCATGTGATTTTATGAAAAATAAAGGCTAAAATCAGTAAACGAAAAATGGAAACAGTTTTTTTTTTATTCACGCGATAAAAATTATGATGTGAACTTTAAAATGACTTTGTCAATTTTAAGTCAAGTACTTTCAACCATATGTTTCCGGTGTTCCAAATTACAGTGAAACACATCGTAATTGGTTGAGCGCACAAAAACAACAAAACTAGACTGTTCTACATATAGTCTATTTGATTTTGTGAATATGGTTAAGGAAAACGTATGCTGATTTCGCTTGGTGTTCCTAAGGGAGAAAGGGAGGTTTGTGAATTATACTGCAAAATTATAGGAATTTTCTGTAGTTCATAAATAATGAACATTTTTGTAATCGAAATAAATCAAACATTCTTGCTTCCTATCGTCTTCTAGGTATTTCGAATGTATTTAGGGCTGGGCTTCCGTTCCGGATCCCGCTGGGGAGCTTACAGCGTACCACAAGCCTCTAGCAGGAAGGGAGTCCGGCATGGCCAGGTGGTTAGGGCGCTCGACTCGCAATCTGAGGGTGGCGGGTTCGAATCCCCGTCCCACCAAACATTCTCGCCCCTTCAGCCGTGGGGGCGTTATAATGTGACTGTCAATCCCACTATTCGTTGGTAAAAAGAGTAGCCCAAGAGTTGGCGGTGGGTGATGATAACTAGCTGCCTTCCCTTTAGTCTTACACTGCTAAATTAGGGACGGCTAACGCAGATAGCCCTCGTGTAGTTTTGAGCGAAATTAAAAACACAAACAATCTAGCAGGA